AGAGTGTGGAATTACAAATCAGGGGAATGAAGGCTGATCAGTATTTTAAAACAAATTTTTATGCAGGTAATATTTTTAAAACAAAAAAAACATTTTCCAATTATTTACTGAAAGTATTTGATTAAACCCTTAGCACTATGTGGTATTTGTGTGTTCCAGTTGAGAAGCATCTTCATTTTTTAAACACTGTAATACTTTTACATGAGGATACTTAACAGATTTTAGCTCCCTTCTTAGCTGGGTAACACATCTGAGTCAAGCTTTTGAATCAAACTCCAACTGAAGAATAATCAAACAGGGTTTCAATGCGGGCCAGAGATGGTTTTGGTCACAACAGCTATTTTAAGTTTTGGTTTTTTTTTTTTTTAATTATCCTGACTTATGCAAATAATTCCCCACTGATATTCACCAATTTTTAGTTTGCTGGTAGTGTCACAGTACGGATACACATGAATTGCTTCATATCTGCCTGGCCCCATCAGAATATTGTAGATGAAATGGACCATTATACTGCTTAGGCACTAGGAAACAACATAGTATCTAAAAGGTAGGTTTAAACCTCCTGAGCACTTACCCAGTTTTTCTTTTTCTTTTTCTTGGAGTCAGCATCATTACCACTCCCAATGCTTGAATGGCTTGTCGCGCTATTGATGCTGGAAACACTTTCTGAAGAATGTTGCCTCCTTATACGTAAATCTAAAGAAAAGAAATTACTGTGAAATCCATCTGTCTGTTTCAATATAATAATCATTCTTGTATTTATGTAGCATCTCCCCCCTCAAAGGGAGCCTAAATGAGCCTAAATGGCATTGATGCTTGCAGTGGCTTGGATTCAAGCTATTGCAGCCTGTGAGAAACCACATGGGAGTCAATGGGGATGCATACAATTAAGCTAAAATTTAGGAGCTTCTCCAAACTGGGGTCTTATTGGCATGAAGGCAATGACCCTGCACAGCAATCTGTGCAGGTGTAACCTCATAGCTAAGCAGTGTCTGTTACAGATGGATTATCTGACGTTACTATCACATGTACTATACTTTTTCTGATGAGTATAGGAACTACTTGACTTGTAGAAGGCCTAGTCTGCTTTCAGATGCTACCTTCTAATATACCATGATGGAAATAAGCAGGCAGGAGTCCATTAAAAATTAATTAAATAAAAAAACCAAGAAGTGGAGAATATTAGAAATGGTTGGTGAGGCTTTTGAGTTTCATTTTCTTAAAAGTCTCCGATAACTGTATCTTAATCATTGGAAAACATTCTTGCAGAACATACCCACTAATACCAAGGGAAATTACTTTTAAGATAATTTTTTACTTCCTAGAAGTTAGTTTTGCTATACTCAAGTCATGCAATGAAATTACCTTAAGGCAGACATCTAAATAATGACCTCTTTAAAGAAAGATCAATGACACTCTCAAAAATGAATGCTGCTATTATTTTTTTTCTTCAAGTAATTCCTTTGCTGTTGCTTATCAACAGGCACTTTTGAAGTACATATTTAACATGCGACATCTCCCTAACTGCAATGACAAATTAATTCAGAATCTGGAATTTAAAATGCCTGCTTTCTTGCACTGATTTAGGACCTCGTGAAGGAGCTGAACTCTTGTCAGTCCATCTGTTAACAAGGAGTACACCAATTTCCAGAGCTACAGCTTACGTTGGATTTCCAAGCTATAACCATGTGTTCCCATAAGACTTCCCTAGTGTCTTGGGTGTACTTCAATACACAACTGCAGTGACAAGTTTAACTCTTGACACTCAGCAATCAATTCCTGGCCACCCAGTTCTGAGAAGACAAAGCTCCAGGAGCTCTGGCAAACAGGAAGCTTGTGCAAGGTTTCCAGCTCTGGAAATACCACAAGTATGACTACCACGCACTGCAGAATGTGCTTGCCCTTGCAATAGAGTCCCCAAAACAACAGAAAAGTAGTGACTTAGCTTTTTTTCTGGGGAGAAACTCTGCATTTATTTTAATAGTGACAAAAACATACCTTTGTGGGTATGATCAGGACCATTCAAGGCTCCTTGAATAGCAGCTTGTGCAGCAGAATTCTGGGCTTTCAGCATTTCAATGGTTTCCCTTAGCTCTATAAGCTCAGATTCCTGTGGGAATAGCAAAGAGAGGTCAAAATATATGGCACAAGAACAATATTTGTCTAAGCTAAAAAAAAAACCAAGATAAGAGTGGTCAAACTGAAGTTCATGGGACTTCATGGGTGAACACAAGGGCAACAGCGAAGTAGAGTGCATATTTTCTCTCCAAAGGTGTTAAACTCAACTAATGTATTCTTTTGGATTTATTCTATATAAAATGATCATGCTATTTTTGAAGAGAACAAACATTTTTATTAGACTAATCTAAAAAGGGTCTCAATTAAATATTCATTATAAAGTTAAGAGAAACCCAAAAATTTTACTGTAAAAGGCAATAAAACCATTTGAATTACATCCTTTATTATGTGAGGCTACTGTTTAATGGATGAATCTCAGCCTGAATTTGTGTATTTTTCAAAAGATTTAACTTGCTAAATAATAATTCAATTAAAAAAACCCTGTTTAACAGCAACTGTCCTGCAAGTTGAAGTAAAATTACTCCACTTGAGTGTAGGAAGTTCTGTATTAGAATGCACAGTCAACTTTAATTAAAAAATAGCTTTTATTACTGCTGCATTAAACTTAACCTGCTAGCCTATATTTATATAATGAGGGTTAAAGGAATTTAACAACAGAGAAAAGTAGAGAAGGAAAAGAACATGTTCCAGATCTTTTGGGAAAGAAGCTTGGAGATGATCTGTTTCAATGTCACTATTTAACCTCTTCTTGAAAGAAAACCTTCTGAGGGAAATTATACTTGGTAAAATAGTTAAAAGTTTTGGTTTTAAGAAAATTCCATTGTGTTTTTTTGCTTAACATGAAAAAAAGCAAGCAATACAAATATTTTCTATCCAGTTCACAATAAGCCTTACCATATTTCATTCATTGGTGCTCAACCAGACTGTGAAATGTTATTTTTCTAGACAGCTACACTGACTCCAGTGGTGACTAATAGCTCAGTGATAGACAGTTTCTTTCACAGTTTGGCTCAACGAGGCCTGTGCATTTATAGGATACTGTTCAAAATGAATAAGGGCAGAAAACTGCAGAAGTTCAACCCTGGAAGGTGCTAAGCAGCCTCTTAATCCTGAGTCTGTTACAAAGGCTCACATTAAATTTACTACCTATCAAGTTTAGATTTTTTTTTCTCAATAGTCAAAACAGCACAGTGAAAACCAAAATTGTTTCCCCATGAACAGGATACCCAACCTGCATTAACACTAAATGGAGCAATTTTTCTCTACCTAAAGTTCTTCCCTTAATTCTATTATTCTGACAGTGCTGGCAGGCTGGAATAAAGCGCTCCAGCATGTTATGATCAGTCTTTGTTACAGGATCTTTCAGTACGGATTAAGCCTAGAGTCACATATGTTTTAATTAAAATCTGGAAACAAAAGATTTTATCTTCAAGCTATGCTATGATACTGTGTGGGTAAACCTAATGCTGCACGGTTTAATTCTCCTGAAGCTTTATGAAGATTTGATCACAACGGCCATTAAAGAAAGATCTGTCTGTCTTATTGTCACAGCTGTCTCTGTTCCTTTTCTGTGTTTTTTAAACAAAACTCTAATATAATCTGCTGAGTGTTTTCCACATTAAATCATCTGCTTTGGTAAATGTACCTTTTGTTCAGCTGTCATTGTTAGACTTTGCAATCGGCCAGTCATATTTCCCAAGCTTTTTTCAAAAGCTGCTACTAGATGAGCCTGTGAAAGAAACAGAAGACAACATTCCTCATGACATGGGTCTTGAATGCTTTACACCTTTACAACTTTCAAGACTATACAGAATGTTTGATACATTTTGGCTGGACAAACAATACCTGGACTCTATGAAACCCAGCATTCCCACTCTGGGCTTTCTCCCAGACCTGGCTGGTTTTTTTAAAACATTTTTCCCCTCCAAGCTCATCTTCTCCAGCTCTTTTCTACTAGTTTTAAAGTCAGACTGATCTAACCTGGATAGGTGAAGCAGCCAAGTGAGGCCAGTGTTCCTCAGGCTTCTTTAGCCCCCAAGGATATCAACTCAGGTATCTCTGCCTGGAAATGAATTATGGATTTGATGCCCTGCTTTGCATTTACTGATATATTGACCAAAAGAAGTCTGTTCCCAAACAGAAGTCCAGTAACAATTATTTTCAATTACTAAACACTTCCAACAAGGGAATTCAAGTACTTTATCTTAAAAGGTAAGTTTTAACCTCAGAAATAAAACAGTCCAGGGGAATCCTGAGAATTAAACAAAAAATATCACAGTCAGTTTTATAAAAGGTCATTATTTAGTCTATTCATCTTATATTGATTATATATGTGTGTGTTGTGCATATAAAATTAATACAAACCTATATAAAATATAAATATATTTATATATGTGTGCAAATGTATACATAAAAACAATCTTGAAAATTGGAAGTTCTACTTTTCAATAAGAAAAGCAATAAAGTTGAAACTGATAAAAAGATTTTAAAAATTAAAGCTTCATTTTATTTCTAACAACATTCAGCCTATACTCTATGCAAGCAAAATTTATACAAACAATACATCAACTCTTCATTGGTTCTAACTGCCATCATGTTTTGTAGGCAAAGAGGAAGTGGTCATAGAGAAACCAGCAAGCTAAGCCTGCTTGTACAGCCAAGGGAAAGTAAGAATTTAAATTTTATGAAATTCCATAAAGTTCCATTCACACCTCTCACAACACCAAATAGTAAAAGCATAAGGAAATACTTATTTTCTTGTTACCTTCTCAAAAGTGGTAATAGGCAAAGTTTTCAAACATAGGCACTACAATACACTTGGAAATATAACTCACAAACCACATATTTATATGCACAAATGGATTAACTGACCGTCCACACTGAGGAAATTTATTTTTTATTATAACAATACAGGCACACGCAGTGCTTGGCAAATTTTTCAGTTACAGATTTACATGCTTGTACGAGCATAGTTGAAATTGTTCAAATGTCAGTAGTTGTACTGAATCTTAGGTATAATCAGAAAAAGACATAGTCCAAAGAGGATTCTGTTATGCAATTTAGGAGAAGGAAATGAGGAATTCTTGCTACCTTGTTCCGCATATTATTTCCCAAATAAAAAAAAAAGATGATCATACATATAGTAGTGACCCACTGCTGTGTCTCCACTTCATAGCTGTTACAGTGAGAAGTAGCTTTTGTGTTTTGTAAATCATTTTGGATTGCTATAATCATTTCAGTATCTTGTAAACTCTTTAAACGTATTACAAGTTTACTCCCTGTAAATTATATTATTAGCAAATAATTTATTTAGTTACTTATGGAGATAGTGGTCAATCCACCTGCTTTCTGCATCTGCAGGGATGCCTTAGGGATAATTCTTTTGGTAAGGGATACATACCCCAGGGACTAACTTTTGATAAACTAGATACATATGCAACTTCTTAAAGATTAATTACTAATTGTGTATATTCTTATTTTAAAATTTATAACTTAGGCTTTATTCTTGACGTTATAATTTTAAATAAAATGAACTTGGAATATGTGTCAAATGCAGGTCTGAAACCAAGTTTAGAAACTACTCTATTCCTCTGAGAAGATAGAAGTAACTAGTTTTTAAATTTACTGTTCACTTCAATAATTAGTTACATATTAAAAATCTCCAGACTAGTGTTTTATTTCCAAAGATGATGATCAGATCACTGACCCAGAACACAATCAGAGACAAAGTAGATGCACTACCAGAAAATTATAGCCAAATGTCTCTTCATTACATGTGTTTAACAGGAAACTAATGGAGCTCTCTGCTCCCTGCCTCATAAAAAAATCTATGGCTTGGCTGACAGCCCTCGGTTCTGATTTACCATGAGAATAACAATGGGGTCTGAGGGCTTGAAAAGAGGAATAATTTGCTTAATTATTCATTGCTTTTGTCCGTTTCTCACAATTAGACTGTGATAACCACAGTTCTTTGGTACCTAACTATGCATATTTGTGTAAAGTATTTCCCTACTCCATAGCTACAACTTCCGCTTATATTGTACATGAACAAACCACAAGGAACTCATAGGAAAAAATAAGGAACTCGTAAGAAAAATTAAGAACTAAAAAGCAGAATTAAAAACGTCATCAAAGGTCACTGAAACTACTAAGTCACTGTCTGAGAATCTTTAAAGACAACAATGTCACAGCTACAGATTCTTACTAAAGTTCAGCCTGTGATAGAGTATATTACCTTCTTGGAGTAGCACGCTAAAATTTTTGTGTCATAAATGTTAATTGGATCAAGATGATGGATCTTTCCTAACTCATTTGAGAGAAACACTATCAAGTTGTGCTTTGCTAACAATAAAGAAACCTAAGTCGAAGGCCCACCACTGAAAATGATGCAAGAAAAAAAATCATTTGCATTTTTCAATATTTTAAATGTTTATTACAATAGAATATTCTTCTCTGAAATACAAAGTGTTAATTTTACATTCAGAGTAATAAACTGTGCTGCCTTTCCCCATGGTAGCAAATGTTTATTTATTCAGCAGTCTAGGGAACTCCTACTTGTTGAAATTTTATGCAGATTTGTCCCAAAAGAAATACCATGTAACAAAACCATAAAAAAAGGCAAAAAAGGGCTAATTATCTGTATATTTACATTGTTTACATAGGTATGTATATATTCCAATTTAAGAGCAGATTTTGCATTTAAATAGTTAAATGCAAAATAATTCAGAAAGTAAAACAATGAAACAAATAGAAAGAAGAAACTGTGACTTTAAAAATGGTCATTAGAAATCAAAAATTCTAATTAGATACTTCTTTTCCACTTTTAAATTTGGTAATTGATTTTGATTGAATTGGTAATACTTAGTTCCTGGGGATTATTTGCTTTATCCAAAAGGATCCATTCTTTCATTCTTAAAAATATTTAGATTTTTTTTCAAAGTTACAGCCAATCCCTCACACCTTAGAAATACCGGTGTTAGATTCTGTAGTTTCATTCATGGCATACATCATTTGAATACCATACAAAATAGCCTGAATAGTGCATGTGCTTTAAATAACACCTATTCTAAAGTAAAAATATATCTTCATAATTGAATGCAGAATTTGTACTCGGAGGTAGATGTACTGGAGTCAGAGTTAAGTAACTGGGCATTACTGGAAGTATGCCTACAGCAAAGTATATCCATCTTTAACAAGATATGCATATAAGATACATAGGTGATGTACAGCTCTTAATCTGTAGATACATCACATATGGATTAATTTTGACTTCTACTACATTAGCATCTGAAATTCCCCTAGGAAATAGTTAAAGAGATCTATGCTCAGGGAATGACTCCAGTGCTAAGATGACGGATTTGCTTTTAAACATTTCCTTCTTCGTAAGCTACCCCAGCCCGCCCGACCCCAAACACCTCAGCTCTTAGGTTCACAGCCCATCCGGAACAAGACATTGGTATATCCAAAGACTATCGGCTGACACGCTTTGCCATTTGACCTGCAGTGTTCAGGTCTATAAAACAAAGGTAAAGAAATAAATTTCCTCCCACCTGACACGGCTGAATGAAAGGAGGTGTGAGAGGCCAGGAGGGATCGGGCTGATTGCAAGAGGCAACCGTACATCTGGTGACCTTTTCTGTTCGCCGCCTGCTATTAACTTGTTCTTTGGCTGTAGGATAGTGGTTCAGAGCTGGCCAAACAAGCGTATTAGCCAACGAAGCCCCTCCGCTTTCTACTGGCATCCTGGGTCTACTACAGTTTGCAAGCATGCACCCTTCAGCTTTATACAGTACAAAGCACTGATCAAAGTCCCTCCGAACAGGCTGGGTTCAGGCTGCTCGCTGGAATTCGAGCCCTTGTCAGTCATGTAGGAAGTCTGCTGGTTGGACACTTTCTGCACTGAAAACAGGCCCTTTCTTAATTAGTGTTGAGATTTGCCCTTCAGCAACATCAAAACAGGCACTAGGGGAAAAGCCAGAATCTCAGAAAAAAACTGTAAATTAAGCATCCAAACAACAGCTGGTCCCTGCTTGAATTTAATCATATGCAGGCAAAACACTTCGGGGTTAATCAAATGAAATAAACTGCTCAAATCAAGCATAGTACTTGAGTCCAGCCAACAAAACCTGAATAATAAATGAAACCAAGTAAGAAAAGTCTTAGCAGAGATTTCCAAAATGCCTGAGAAATGCTGTAAGTTCCAATTGACAGATTTTGATATAAAATAATATCTAAAACAAAGACTTGATGAAAGAGGACAAATTTCAGCCTCACAGTCTTTTAATGACACATGTACTACTGTCACCAACAGTCTTTTGTGGTGAAGCAAAGAAAAGACACAAATATTGTTGAAAGGAGATGAATAAGAAGCTCACTCTCTCACTCGCATGTAATACTTTTGCTCAGTTCTACACAGGGAGATGGTAAAAACAAATTCAAGCCTGAGATAAACTGTGAGGGAGCAAGATTTCTGGCTATTAATAATTTTCTTTTCCAGACTACAGCGAGGAAAAAAGTGCTGCCCATTTTCAGACCCTGAAAGTATGGAAATTTGGGGGAGCTTGTGACTAAAGATGATTGCATTTATAGCAAAAGCATCAGGAATGGCTGAGTGATCTGGACAGCAAAGGCACAACAGAAATTACTCTGGTCATACAGTTCTCCGCCTGCCAGAGACAGATGTGTCTACAGAAAAGTAGTACAGAGTGACCAAACTTTTTTCTGCAGGAGACTTATTGTTCGTTCAAGTGCGAACGTGACTCAAAATTATTATCCTTTAGAGAGTGCCATGGTTTAACCCCAGCTGGCAACTAAGCCCCACGCAGCCGCTCGTTTACTCCCTCTATGGTGGGACGGGGGGGAGAATCGGAAGGGTAAAAGTGAGAAAACTCATGGGTTGAGATAAAGACAGTTTAATGGATAAAGCAAAACCCATGCACACAAGCAAAGCAAAACAAGGAATTCATTCACTACTTCCCATGGGCCGGTGGGTGTTGGGCCATCTCCAGAAAAGCAGGGCTCCATTACGTGTAACAGTTACTTGGGAAGACAAATGTTATCACCCAGAATGACCCCCCTTTCCTTCTTCCCCCAACTTTATATGCTGAGCAGGACGTCATATGGTATGGAATATCCCTTTGGTTGGTTGGGGTCAGCTGTCCCAGCTGTGTCCCCTCCCAGCTGCTTGTGTCCCCCCAGCCTGCTCACTGGTGGGGTGGTGTGAGAAGCAGAAAAGACCTTGACCTGTGTAAGTGTAAGCAGTGTAAGCCCTGCTCAGCAATAACGAAAACATCCCTGTATTACCAACACTTTTCAGCACAAATCCAAAACACAGCCCCATACTAGCTACTATGAAGAAAATTAACTCCATCTCAGTAAAAACCAGCACAGAGAGTAAAACATGTTTTTGATTTCTTCTCTGAGCATAAATTCCAGCTTTTGTGATTGAGACTATTTCTCCTTTAAATGTCAGGGGCTAGTAAAGTATGTCTCTCAGATCAGGAGATAAGCCATAAATGAATATATGAAAATAAAGCATTGCTAAGACAGTACAATTTCATGAAAATTAGAAGTCCATCTGGGTTCTTCATAAGTTTGTCAAATTAAATCAAGTATTTCTTAGTTACTCTCATAATTTTTACAAAAAATATATAATCACTGGCATTTAAATATCAGTTCTGTAATTAGATTAAAGTTTAGAGGCCATATCACAATTAAAAGATTGTATATACACTCTGCTTTCAAGCTGGATTTTATTCCTGATGTTTCAGTGATATTTTGTAGAATTTATTTACATAAAGTGCTCAAAGGACTGACAGAATTAGTACTAACACATATTTAAGTGGTCTCTTTTGATCCTTTGGACTTAGTGGAAGTGGTTTTTTTTAATGCTTTACATATCCTGTACCAGCAATAGCAGAGGAAAAACTTAGAATCAGGCTTATTGTGAAATACTTTTCAATTTTTGTTTTTGTAAATTATATATGTAATGACAGTATCCCAAAAATATTTACTTATGTTATCTAGTAATATCTACTTTTCTTTTAAGATTATTTTCACCGAGAAAGTATCTAAACCTCTTGCTCATGCCTGGAGAATTTGAAGCCTCTAAGTTTCATGCTCTTGACAAGTTTAATTTTGAGGGAATTTCCACATGTTGGGGATTTGGAAAAAGGAAAGGTTTCTCTGGTACCATTAAAAAAAAAAAGCGCTAAAAATATCAGCTTTAGGGTTGCTTATAGGTTTAGAGTTTAAAGACCATCTCCATGGAGATGGATTAGAAGGTGGGTGACAGAGTCAAAAGAGCCTGATTAAATTAACCCTTTTAGAACATACAGTGTGCATACACATATATATGTATATGCATGCAAGCACACACAGGTTTACAAATGTGGTACTCCGGGATAGGCAAAACCAGATGCACTCGTATACATTCTTTAACTGTCCTGTTGAAAATGTTACCTCCCTCCCCCAGTGAGATCAGCAGAAAAGCTATGGGCATTCTTACTGGGTGTTCAGAAGTCCAGAGGCAGCGTATGGGACCAGGTCCCCAACCAACATAACGTGAGCTAAACAGACCAAACCGAACTTACTTCTCACTCACGCAGCAGAATTAGCTGGAGTGAAAACCAAGCCAAAATGTAACTATCCATTTTTAGCTTGACTCAGTTTCTTTGAAATATGGACCAAATCTAATTTTAACTTGGAGCTGACTTTGAAAACTTGTCTGGGATGGGTGATGTTGTTAGACACCAGTCTGCATGGTGTTTACTGCACACAAAGGAGTGCTGACCAGAGGTATGGGCAACGACTTCTAACTGACGCTGGGGAGAAATGGGATGCGATCGGCCCAGACGAACCCAACGGTGGCCTCTTTGCCTCAGCGGCCGGGGACGAGGCCCCGCCACCCTCACGCAGGTGCACCTGTTACTGTATTTAGGCTGCAGCATCGCTGGGGGAACTGGAAGAGGATGGAGACTGACGAGACATGTCGGTCATCTTTCAGCACGTCGGCCAGAAGGAACATGCTGGTGCTTTCTGTTCAGAACCAGTGGAAGGAGAGAAGGACAAACTGCTTTTCTGCTCACAGTGAGGTGTGGTACCCAGAGCCCAAGTTATCCCACCAGAGAGGCTCCCACACCAGTACAGGCACCTGAGTGCAGGCCCACCACAGGCAAACAATTCAGTCTTCCTGATGTGGCACCACTGCTCAGAGTCACGGAATGGGTTGGGTTGGGTTGGGAAGGACCTTTAAAGATCATCTTGTCCATCCCCCTGGCTGTGGGCAGGGACGTGTTTCACTAGATCAGACGCTTGCAGGAATCAAGCTAACTCTTCTGGGTAACACCAGCTGCTGCTGCGTGGGCATTAACGGGTGCTCAGAGTGGGTGTGGGGGTGTCTGTGATTGTGCTGTGTCGCAAGCCCCGCCGCAGCCCACCTCCCTGTGCTCCCCACTGCAAGGTCTGCCTGCTGCAGCCTTGCATTTTTGGTGGAAAGGGCCCTGCAGAGAACAATGGACTTGTTAGTGAACAGGACTACCCAAGGCATGCTGGCCTGGTTCTTCTGACCTCTTGGTGTTGGTTTTAGCTTGTTGCTCTCAAGATGGGTGCGTGAAGAATTGCCCAATCTGGCAAAGATGAAGATCAGTGTCTAAAATACATGAGATGGAACTCCGTACTAAGGATACGCATGCTGGCTATAAATTCCCAAATGAATAACCCAACTCAGAATCTAGCTTTTGAATTTACAAACATTGCAGGACTCCAATATTGTCTGCTTCACTAGCTCCTCCTCAGAACCCAGGACGGAGTGGCAACCCATACCGCTACAGAGGTACGAATACCCACAGGTGTTCTGCAGCCACCTGAACAGAGCAGAAAGCTCCAAGAGCAGCCCTTCCACATTTTCACGTGTGGCAGTCCTAGGAGAACAAGCAGCTTTCACACACCTAGAGATTATTTTCTCACAACATGAACGCAGTACTACTTCACTGACCGAAACATTTTCTTGAAAATAACGGCAGTATTTATAGATCTAAACACTCAGCACATCTGCATTTCGAAGAAACTCTAGAGGTTGCCTGAGACATCCGGGAACTGCTTTCTTGAAATGCAAAATGATACTCTCTTGCAACTGCATCTCCACTTTCCTTGGGAATGGTAACTATAGTTATACCCTGAATTGCATTTAAAAATCACTATACAACAGATTGTTCAATAACTATGCAGTAACCTCATCTGAAGCCATAGTAACCAGACAGGATTGTAGCTCACATTCCCTATCTGGCATTCTTTTCTGAGAACACGTTCAGTAACTCACAGTACCAGTATATGACAACTGGAAGGAATACCAGGGCGCTCCATGAAATAACTTGGTTTCCATTAGTTATGTATCAGCACAGTTATTGAAGCATATGAATTCTATATACAGTTGTATACTGTTCTTCCCTCCATATCTACCTGTATTTTACAGGGCTTACCTTTTTGAAAAGAAACTATAAGGAATTCTAGCAGAATCTGTAGCTCATGCCCTTTCTTTGGTTGTATCTCTTTACTTTTGGGCTTTTTGTGATTGATTCTGAGGAAAGAGTGAAACTGAACTGGATAGGACTGTTGTCACATGCAAAGGGTGGAAACTCTCCTTTTCCTTTCCACTGTGTCTATTACAAGATTCCTTCTGCTTGAAGCTGAGACAATACCAACACTTAATGAAATAATTAATTGAAAAACACCACAACAAGTAAGTAGTAAAAGTGCCCCAGATCACATGTTTGTACTTGAGTTGAGTAAGAGTTATAAGCCAGTCTGATAAAGTATTCTCTGATACTCTTTATGATCACAAGCACAAATACTTACATTTGCTGAAAGTTGAGAGGTAAGGGTAGCAACTTTCTCTTGTGATGCAACCAGCTCTCGCCGTAGTTTCTGAATTTGCTAGAAGAAAAAAAATATTGCTGTCAGTATTTCAGCAATTTCCTTTTGCCGTGGTTTTTTTGTTTTGTTTTCATAACGGATCACTAATAGGTTTACAATGTCTTAGTTTCACGTTTTAATCTCAAAACTACTCAGAAATACAAATTAACAGAAGTTGTCACTTAGTGCTGCTCCAAGTGTTTTCTTGTGCTTAACCAGTATGAGCTAGAATCCCAGTCAGGGGAGCACATATGGGCAAAAGCTTAATTACTTCACATGTACAATCCTCTGTTTGCACATGTAAATGTCATGTTTTTTTACCAAATCCCGTTAAGTTCCAAACACATTCTTAGTGCAATCAGTTTTAAGAGACCTGTATGAGGCCTGAGATTATGAAATATGAAAGAATTTGGGTGAGGTTCACTTTGCTTGACTAGACGTAATGCAACCAACATATGCCAAATGTCTATATAAGACTCAGATGAAGTGCCAAAAGTACTCCTCACTGCCTGGCATGAAGAAGGCTTCAATGACTACCTCAGACACAGATTTTTGCTTCATGGATGTCTAAAGTCAGAAGAGGTACAGTAATTTTTTTTTTTTCTCTAAGACTCTACTTCTTACAGTTCCTGCGATTCAAATATACAGCCTCTTTAAACCTTATCTACTATTCAAAAACTTGCTTGCCAACTTAAAAAAATAAATTTAGCTTTAAATGTGCTTGTTGACATGAAAATAAATTTAATTCAAGGCTTCCGTATCCTTTAATGAGAAACAGAATCCTTAAGAAAAATATCTGTTTACATTTCAGCGAGGATAGATATCTAGCATGAAGCTTGCGCATCATTTTAAGCTCATTTAACCCTATTTGAGATCTTACAGGGACTCCAGGCATTGCACTGAACTTAAGCATACCAGAGAGTTTCACTTTGAAATCCCTTTCATATTCAGACATAAAAGAAATTATTCCAGACTAGAGAAGCAAAATGTCTGTAACTAGTCTAGGAAAGGGAGCACATAACATTCACTAAGACAGATTATCGCAGTACTTTAATTTTATGAATCCCATGAAAACCAACAGGGAATACTGCACGAGCTTTAGGAATGAACAAGTTCCTGTACATCTATGATACAAAAATAGCTAGGTCATTTACACTAGCTCAGAGCAAAGGAGACAGATTATGAGCTGTTCTCCATCCTGGATTGCTCTTTTCTTTTTCCAAGTTTTCTCTTTGGTTTTCAATAGCAATTATTTGACCTTCCTGCTAAAATCTACACTTTCATCATATTCCTGCAACTATACAAATGCAGTTCTCATAAAGTTCTGTTCAACATCTCCTGAAAGAGCATCACAGAACACATAAAATAGAAATATGCAGAAAATAAATGTTGTTTCACCTCTATACGCAGCCCTATATAAAAGAATATGACATGAGGAATTGTCATTTACAGTACTGAGCTATGACATGCTTCTTTAGGTGTTTTGCTTTAACTTTCAGTGAAAGGAGCTTAGAAAATTCAGGTAGAAATTATATTGAAATATACCGCAGCAAGTAAGGAAGAATATGTTTATTTGTTCAGCTCCCTAAAAATATCTTTTAGTTGACTTTTTCTCTGATTAGAACAGTAAAAATAGGAACAGCATAAACACAGGAGTCAGAAGGCATGTGATGCTGTGAAGTGGAAATGCACCCCTTGGTGCTGCATTTTATTGCTGTTACTCCTTGGTGCCCTTTTAATACAACCAGACTTCATTTTGAGAAAGGCTGTAATTCCATCCAGCTGCTGACCTGGGCTTGTCACCCGTTCTTATACACTGGGAGGAGAAGGAAGCTGTTTTCCACGTCAGATTTGATTTGTATCTGAAATCAATCTGCACTGCTCTGCAATCCATCAGAGTGGTCAGTTTCAGAAATTTAATATAATGCAAAATGTAAGGGAGAGAAGTTCAAAGTGAACATTTGAAGCATTTTTCTCCTGAAAGGCAGCACATTACCTTCAGTTGCACAGTCCCTTAGATCCAGTACGGAGTGGTATTAAGTCTGAAATCAGATGGTATCACAACTCCCCACTCAGTAGCCCGAGTCTCATCGATTCTTTTCACCTTTTCAGAACCTCAGCCAGGAGGCATTCTTCAGCACAACGCTAAGAAAACACCTTCTAGTGCACTAGAAGCCGCATCAGCTTTTTACCAATACTTCTTAAACACTGGTGCAAAGACACAGGGTGTATAATAATATAATGCAATACTTAAATATAAAAATGAAGAAAAGTTCTTACCTCTGAATGTGCCTTTTCTTCTGCCTGGAAGAAAACAAAGAAGAAATGGCTTAGGAACTGTGTGCAACATAATTGCGGTAATAGAAAATAAAAGCCAGCTACACTGAAGTGAAATGAATAGCTTCACGGATCCATTACATTTAAGGAAGGTATGCAGTTAAAACAATAAATGGAATTCTTTTCAACTTACTTGGCAAGGCTCCAGCTGAAACCCCAAAGAGTTTGCCAGCATACTGACAACACGAAACAGTGGATAAAGGGAGAACAGGAACAGAACTACAGAAGCTACAGCTACATTTTAAGATGCAAAAGAAAATTTGCGATGCTGTCACTGCATGGACCTTAGTCTGTTACCTGCAAACTTTTACACTGTAATGATTATTATGGCTCTGGGAACTATATTTGTTTTACTGTTTTCCAAGAAATATTCCTAATAGACTAATCCCTGCTAAGAGAAGTTGACAGAATAAGAGTAAAACATATATTGGGGGAAGATGGGGGAAGACGGTTACTTGCACTTTACAGTAATTTCTTTTGTACAGACTACTGACGAAAATATTAAGGGCTATAAAGGCATGTTAAAGTTTCAGCTTAAACTTGCTAATATTATTTAATAATTTTAGGTGTTTTCCATATTCTTATGTATCGTGTCATAAAATGATGCTACTTACTCAACAGTTTTTTTCAACAAGATAAGAAGCTAAATCATTAGTCATTAAATTTGTAAGCATGATAGAAGTCTAATTTAGGAGGCATTTGGTGGATGGAGATATCTTGCTTCAGTGGGATTCTAATGGAAAGAATGGTGTGCCGTGAGAGAGGAACCCTTTTGTAACATAAAATAAGAACCAGTTTATGGACTGGAAATGATTCCACCCCATGATCTGTGGTAGCCCAAATTCAGAGAAGCAGTCTAACATTGTCTGGAAGAGAAATAAGCAGTAAAAGGAGAATGTGGGTGGAAGAATTAGCTATAAATAATACAAGAAAGGTTAAGAAAACCCAAGGTAAGAGTTCCTCAGAAGATTCCCTGACATCAGGCAGTGTCTGTGTTATTACAAATTAGTATAGCTTCTTTTTTAGTTCTATATCAAGCACAACTTTCGTGCTGTTAAAATTTTAATAATGTATTATAGAAATGATTTCTTACTTTACCTGTTGTAGGGGGAGAAGACGTTTAGAAAATACCTCTTTCCTTACATGCTTATCTGTTAACAGTCACTAAAAAGACTGTGATGCTACGATATTTCCTTGTGCAACACTTAGAACTGCTCTTGGCTGAAACTACTGTAATACCTGATGCATTACTACATGGGAATGATTTAGTATAATGATTGTTTTATTTGCCAGCACTGATGTGACACACATACTGATACTAACTTTCTGATCTATGTTCACAAAAAGGAGATCTGCCTACAGAAAAAAATGAAATTCTATTCTCATTATTGTTACTTCAGACGTGTAGTGCATAAAAAGTCAGAAAAGGATCAAGAAACACCATGTCCCCTTATGAATTCTAATGTGCCAAGAAAAGCAAAAAAAAAAAAAAATTCAGGTTTGGTGGTGGGGACATGGTCCCTCATCTTTAGACCACTGGCCCCTGCTGATGAAGGCAGTGCTACATGTTGTTACCAGATGACTCTCACTGTACAAGGAAGCGTTACCTCTCTCTCAGAGTTCAGAGAAGTGGCTCCCACAAGTCTTCTGTGGGCAGTGGAAAGATTAAATGAAAGAGAAGGAACAGGATTCTGGACATACTATCAACTTAAAAAATGAAATCTGACAACCAAGTACATCTGAGCAGTTTTAACTTACGAGTTCATGCTGACACCATTGTAACCCAGCACTTGGCCATTGGGTCAAAAGGCTCTAAAAGGAAATAATTTTTTTCTCCCTCTACTTCTCCATTGTATCCATGCATCCTATCCTTGTAAAGATTATTTTTCTCTTTTTTTGAAGACTTAAAATATTATCATATAAATGACATGTCCTTACACATCTCCTTTGAGCTTGGCTTAGCACAGTTAATGAAGTCTAGGGATTCAAAGTGTAGCTAATGCTGAGAAGCAGTGCGAGAAATATGCAATTAACTAAATATGTGCAAATTGCAGTGTCTCACCTACTGAGCAGGAGAAGATTAAAATAGGAGACAACCTAGCATAATTTACACTACCACACATCTTTTTCAACTTCTTGGAAACCTAGATATATTCACTGCCAAAACTGAATCGATATTTCAATCCTACAATCTACTAAGTCTCCTTACAAGGCATACTTTTCTGTGAAACCAAATCTTTGTCTCTCTACATGCATTTCTGTTCCAGCTAGATTTTCACTCTATTCAAGTAAGTCCTGAAAACCCAAATGCAAATTAAGAAAGCCAATACATACAGAAAATACTAGTGAACGCGGAACTTCTGTCTCATTGAACTTATTCATTGCAGTGACAGCAAATCATGAAATGACTCTTCTGAATATCATGTTCTAATGCTCAAAGAAACAATCTTCAGAGTATAACTTAATGATTTTCAGCTATCCTTTGGCAATAATACATAAAGATCTTGATCTTTATTTAGTACTTTGTCTGAATCTCTCCAGTGCTTAAGCTGCAGAAAACCACTAGCACCAAGGCTCAAGGCAATGCTTGAGAAATGTGATAAATACATTCGATTGAGACACTTAGAGAAAGGCAGCTGCTTTGGAATTCGTGCTTAGTGATTTTGGCATGCTTAAGTAAGGCAAAAAAGCACAAGAAAGGTTGCTCTCTGCTTTCAGCTGATGTGACACTGATTGCCAGCCTTTCATGTTTCTATACTTGTGCATTATCTTCTGATTAATTGCTGAAAAGTTTAAACTTTTTTCACAGAATGAGAGGGATCAAGTAGAAGAAATTCTGATCAAAATCATCCCTAAAGGTCAATCCTGGCAATTTTGTTATACTAATTCCTTTCTCGCCTGTTACAGATTTTTCTGTAACTTCCATTATCTTGTCTACATAATCCATAACTTAAGAATCAAGGCTTAGCTGCAATGTGAATTCACAGTCAGACATTTCAGAAGATATTCCACTTAAAGTATGAACTTAGGTAAACAGTTTAAAGTTTGTTTTGCAGGGAAAGTACTGTTCTTTAATATCATGGGGTTTAGGTAATATTTCCAAGATAACTCTGTAATTTTGAATGATAGGTTATATAAATAGAAAGTATTAGTAAACTCTTGCTATATCACACAACATCAAAGCAGAGATATTTCAAACTTACTGACTGATCAGCTGCTGAAAGCATCCTGTATCACTTTATAACTTGATTTTTACCATCTATCATTTTCATAATATTCTTCTAAAATTTAACATCAAAGCTTGAATTATAATTTTGGACACTCCCCGCTATGTAAACGGATCATAGTGTCTCATAGACAGGGATTTGACTACCAAAACATGAGTGAGAATCTTTGCTTTGAATGTTAGTCATACCTCATGTGCAGCCAGTCTGTACGTACATTCTAACCTCCCAAAATAATTCAGGACTGGTCTGGACTGGAATTGTTTGCAGCTTGCTGCTTAAGGCCTGGACAACCTAACGCATGTGGACCTGATGTTTTAGACATGCCCTTGTATAGACCTTTTATGCTTAAACAGAACTAAGAGAGGTACCGTTGTGGTAGGCGTTGTGCATGGATGAAACCTACTTTCCAAGCTAACATGAGTTTAACATTGAGATAGGGCTACCAAATGGTACGAATGCATCAGACTGCACGGGTTTGGTAGCCCCAGGCAAGAACTGGTGTTGGCTCTGGGTAGAAGAGTCCATGCCATTCCTGGGATGTCAGCTGGCACTATTCAACACCTGAAAACATGGAGAGGAGACAGACTATTCATGAATGCACGGTATGAAAGCAGATAAGTGGGTTGTTCTCCTGTGAAAAAGGGCTACTACAGCATGTAATTGTAGTTTGTGAATAGGTTGCAAAGAAACTGCTGTGTATCAGCAAAAGAATGTCCAAACATATTTAACTCCTCCCATATGGATATGTTAGTAGAACAACTGAAGCAACATATTATGCAGGAGATCTTAAAAAAGATATCAAAACAATAAAATAGAGAAAAAAATCAAAACCAGAACTTCTGTTTGAGCTACAATTATTAATCAATCTAATTAATCTAATTAACTAAGATTAATAATTTTTTAAAGACAGCCTTCTCTTTGGAAATAACATCTAATGCTGTCATTTGCAACAAAGATCAGTAGACATTTAAAGTGCAAATTGTATCTCTCTTACCCTGAAACAACCTTGTGTTTTTCAGGAAGTGTGTCTCAGTGACAGGACAAAAACACTTTGCAATGTGCAATTATAAACCTAGCTGAAAATAAGCAAAATCACTCAAAGTTATCAACTACAATAGCATAAGGACTCCCCCTAAAAGAGAGACTCCTAGACCATTACCTTCTTTTTAGCTTTCGAAATATACACTACGTAATTTTAAGCAGTTCTAAGCAAATCACCTAGAAAGATGAAAATAATATATTCTAAAATAGCATGACGGTAATACCAAAGTAAAAAATAAATGTTCTTGCTTTATTGCAGTACAGTTTTCATCCTTCTGAACCTCAAAGCAGTGAAAGCTTCATGAACAATGAACAAGAACAGAGGTGGGCAGAACTTTTTTCTAAAATGTCAATACTCACCGTAGAGTAGAGAGAGGATGTGCTGGAGACAAGTGATAATGAGGACCCATGTACTTTAAAAAAAGGAAAATAACATGAAACATTGATGATAGCATAAAACTTCCCCCATGTAGCTCAATAACTAAACATCTTTTTAAAATGAGAACCAATCTTCTATGAAGAGCAATTATGAGCTTCCCTATAGAAAAACTATTGATAGTTTCCTGCACTTAAAAAGATTGCTCTATAAAAAAACCCCAACTTTTCTGTGTATGAGGTAGGATAGTGGGTCAGTGAGATTCAGTATTATCACCAGCAAACAAAGCATCGTTTTTGCTGTTTTGACAGCAAATGACTTGATAAATTCATTCTTTAGAGAAACCAGAAATTGTGCTGTTTATACACCTGTCCAAAGCTGAGCAAACTGATTTTAATAAGAGGCTATGCTTTGCAAAACACTTCACATTCCCTGGGGAGAGTTCCCAGACTTTTCTCAGTTGGTTTCTCCCCTCAGCACAATGCAGACCTGTGCGTGCTAGCATTTGTAGTCTGTGTGAAGGGGTTACTGTGAGATGTAGTGCCATATTTTCACTAATCATCAGTAGAGTCAGCCTCCAGAGCACCAGGTGAAGCTGCAGGACTTCAAAGCAAAATATGGAGTACCTGACCTCTCTGAAAATGGCAACTGAAGACTAAACTGAGACAAAATTGCCCCTTCGCCTTCTGATTACTCTATTGAGGAAGGGAACACCAACAGAGAATTTTAAACATCATTCATTTCTTTACTTCTTTTAATTTTTCTTTCAAAAATAAATTTTTTTAATGCTTATTATCTGTTAGGTTTTGATAAGCAAATTATTTTAAGTTAATATTGACATCTGTGTTTCAAATTGACAATACAAGAATACTTGGATTAGACAAACAGACTTTAAACCTGGTTTTGAAACTGGGCATTTATTTACAAAGATGTGGTATGCTGACCATTGAAATCCTGTTGCTTTCAATCTTTCTCTAATTTTCAGTCTCTGGTTTAAATCTCTCAGCTAAGCTCTCATTCTGCTCTTGTACACTGTGGCTTTACTCATTACCTTACTTCTTTTACTATAATCTTCCTCAGAGTTCCTATCTTAAATAAAATACTTTTGGCCTTCCAGCAACATCATTTCATGTTAATTGCTAATGACTGTAAAATGCTGAAAACTGTTTATTATTGCTGCATTGACTTTATTTACTCAAGTTGATCACGGTTATCCACTCCAGCTGGATCTGAAACATGACCAATGAAAAAGCTTTCATCAAAGCCACTGGGTGACTCAGTACTAAAATTCTAGATTTAACACCTCTTTTTCTATGCATAAATTATTTGTTTGTTTTCTCTATTATTCTTCCAGTGTTTCCTTTGATAATTCTCCTGTTCCTCAGCAAAGGGTCTGTAGTCACCTCTGTCCTTGAATTATGTGATACACTTCTGTGCAGTCAGCCATCCTCTCTGTGCTGACAACTCACAGCTTGATCTGTCCTGCACCCTACTGCTAGTATTACATACCCAGATGTCTGCCTGACACATCATCTGAAATACAGAAGAATGAACTGAAAAGTAAAAGTATTAGTTGTCCGTTATTTCATCTAGGACTTTTTTTTCTCCTTTTAACTCATAACTATGAGTTTGGGGGAGGACTTTTTTATTTGCTTGTTATAAAGGCAATTTATTATTTACATATAACATTATATAATATATATAATATAT